CAGCCATTCTGAAGAGTTGCACCTCTTCAGATTTCAGCCCAACTTTGGCTATAAATACAACACTATTCTGCTCAGAATTTCACTACGATTTTCTGAGTTTCTTCTCCTTCTTCTGCATACTTTTAGCATCAAACAAAGCAAAAGTAAGTGTGATTTGCTACCGAATTTTGTGTTCGCTGAAACGCTAGGGTTTGAAGTACCACTACACCAGTGTGTAATTCGTTCTATCGTGGGAGGAAATAATCCATAACCTTGGGTACTAGGAGGGGATTAAATTTCTTAAGGAAACACTGTGAATTCAGTGGGCTCGAATTGGTTTTCTGACATTTCTGTTTATGTTCATTTCTGTTTATATTCATTTATATTTCCAGAATTATTTTACAAATACAGTATACTAACAAGTTGTGAGACAAAAAAGAGGCCTCATACAACTGACAATAGTTGTGTGAGGCACAAAATAAAATTTTTCATCCCATCCCACCTGGAAAGATCCCATCTCCATATACACCTACCAGGGGCGGAAGAAGAATAGAAGCTACGGGTTTGACCACACACAATAATTTTGGTCCAAACCGTATATTTAGTCAGGATAATGTTAATGGACTTATACGGATTGAGGTGGCATGAAATCAATGGGGGTAAGTATGATGAGTTTGTAAAGTTATTAATTTAGAATCCAGTAACTTAGTTAAGAAATTAAGAATTCCGAACTCATAAGCTTCAAATCATACCTCCGCCTCTGATACATATCAAAATCCATTATCCATATATCGCTGGTCCTTGTGTTAGTTTGTCTGCACCTCGAGAATTCAATCTAGTTCTTATATTGCCATCAATACAAGTATTTGATAATTTTGTCCATTAAAACTTAGACCTATAAAAGAATTCACCTAATATTTTATGTGTCCGATGGACATGGAACCTATCAAATTAAAATCCATATTTTTACCTTTCAGATCATGCATGGAAAAAGAAAAAAAGACAACCTTTGAATACCCTTGTAAACTTCACTGGTTATTGACGGAGAAGGTAAATTGGAAATTGAAGAATATAATATTAATATAGCATGAAGCTGGTTGTTAAAATTAGACAGCTTCAAAAATATAATAGTACATAAACCAAAACTCTCATACTGTTATAAATAGAATTTTATTTATAGTGAATGTCTATATTTAGAGAGATTCTAGGGTTCATTGCTTGGTGGCTAAGTCACCCTCTCCCTATAAATAGAGGGTTCTATTCTATTGTAATTCATCCCAAAATCAATAAGAATTCTCTCTCTCTACGTTTCTCTGTAATACTCTTCTTCTTCTTTTATTGTTTCATAACACGTTATCAGCACGAGACTCTAACCAATTGAGTAGAAGCTTTGGGATTGAGCATAATGATTGTCAATTATTCCATGAACTTCCTTCATGATTAAATTCTGGATTTAAGATAAGTATCTTACTGTATTTTTCTCTTTTATTCTATACTTCGATTTTAGATACAAGCAAAGACAATAAAGTTTGATTATAACTCTAATGGAGTTTGTAAGAAATTATAACCACCTGAAGTGGTAAAATTTCTATGCCTCGCCATGATCAAATTCATGTATGATTGTGGGCAAAGAATTGAAAACCCGTCCCATTGAATTTGCTCCATTCTCATTCCCTTAAGAGAATGTGATAGCAGTATGTGATAAGTCTGAAAGACGACAAAATTATTACCGTGAAGGTATCAATGGATGTGGACGAGGCAATAGACGAAATTATAATCGTCATTATCGTGGTAATGAGAATAATAAGGATTCTCAAAATAAGCCTTCACTCTGTAAAGTTGATGTTTGTCATCGATTTGACATAAGATTTCGTAAAGCACATACAGGTGCTTATGGTCCATTCATGATGTGAATGTGATAACATCTTATTTATGAATACATATTCGTTCTTGGAAGAATATGAACGTGCTAGTGGTAGTGAATATACCACNGGCGTCCAGGTACAACCTCGTGAATCACGACCTTTGCGAAAGGACGTTCGGTGGCCCCTGGCCAAATACCTCGGACCAAACCAAACGAGGCGGATATTAGAAGAAGTACACGAGGGGCACTGTGGTGCTCAAACGGGAAATCGTGCCCTCGTCGGATGCCTCATCCGTGCAGGACACTACTGACCCACCATGAAAAAAGAAGTCGCAGACTACGTCAAAAAATGCGAACAATGTATATTGCAGAACAACTGCTGTACTCCGTCACTTCACCATGACCGTTCATAAAGTGGGGGATGGATATTGTCGGACCCCTTCCAGCAAGGCGAGGTATTGAGACGATAAATAAAGAAAATATTTAATATTTTCTATTACTACAACTTGTAGCGGGGTAATATGTATGTGAAAAACTATCCGCTTTATTCTCCAGTTTGTACTACACAAATAAAAGAATGCCACAATAAAGTGGATGTTTATTGATATAAAAACCCATATCGTAATAAACTTGGAGTTTATTCATAATTGCACACGTCATGGTGTAAATCTGAAATTTATCAATATTGATAATTTATTCAGTTGGCATAACTAGTTTTGCCATATCAATTTAAGTATGATGTGCAAAAATAAAATAGAGTTCATATGGGTAAATATTAAAGAACTAGAAAGTTCTTTACGGATTCTCTTACGTTGCTTGTTCTTATTAATTAATAGACCAACTAAAATTGGGATTGAATCCCATGAATGCTGGAAATATCAAAGGTGAATATGGGCTCATTCATCTGCCATGTATACCACATAAGATGCATCTATGAGATGGTTACATGTGCAATTATTATTGATCTGCAACTTGGTGTTTGCGAGGTAACTTGCTCAATAATTTAATTTCGAGCATAATTTCCAGATTTTCTATTCAAGAAGTTCATCTTGATAAGTTGGTTTACATCACAGTTGGTTTAGCAAAATGATTTATTGAGTGCCTCCACTTAATAGCTAAACTATTGCTTACGAGAACAAAGTTATCTATATCAGTTTGATATACGTTATATACGAAAGTATATTATTTTCTCCCCTCACAAGTGGTTCAGGGTCAGGAACCAAATAATTTCATCTTATTATTATTGATGTGCGGTGTATATTTTAATTAACACCATAATGCACAAAGATGAATTCCCAAAGTTGAGAAAGTAAGTTTTTCTAACATGAGGGGGAGACATGATAAACAGTTGAGAAAAAGTTACGTGGAATGAATTATCATTTGTACATCTAGATCCTCGAATAAGATAATATGAACTTTAAGTTCATAGAGATAATTCATTTGCAATATATTGCAAAGCATGCCAGACGCATTTGCTGACCCAAAGAAAGTAACTATATTCTCAATGCAAATGCTCCTATTAAGTCCTAGAAGGACAAAGTATGTGGTACGCTTAAGGCGTATAGACAAATCGGTTTCAAATAAACTTCTTAATAAAGAAGATGAGCAAATGATCAAAATGATCATAATAATGGAGGCAAGTGATCTAGAAGATCACATGACATAACACTTCATAATATCTCATGAGAGATTCAGGTACCTGAAAATATGAATGAAGAGATCTCTATGTTATGTCTTTATGAAAAAATATTGAAACTGATATAAAATGTTTGTCGACGACATCTATAATAGCGTTAAATATATATGAGGACCTCAAGTCTGGAGAAACAATTCAAGTAGAATTTGGTTTCCCATGAAAGACATGTAGTTTTGAACATGTAGTTCAAACACTTGAAAGTATGGAGCCAATGATATGTGCAATCAATTTTCGATATCTTATTTGTCTAGCATGACATGAAAACTTGATATGCATCTAATTAAAGTCTATTGTATGACTTATATGACAATCCTTGAAGGATTTAAATTACTTGAAGCATATACAATTCTTGATCTTGAAGTACTACTTCCTCAGTGCAATTTGTGCACAAATGTATCTTGCTATAACTATAGGCATGATAATATGATACCAAGAGTTTTCACCTCTATGTGAAGATATTGAACTGACGGTTACAACAAGATCATATGAAGATAATCCATCTCTATCAAGAATGATGATTTCAAGGTGCAATATATTCATTCAAGTTAATATAGCTGATTTGTTTATCAAATCTCTACCAACGATCTCTGGAAGATGGTGCACAAGATTGGAATGCAAATGCTTAAAGATGTGAACTGATACTCTCATCAGGGGGAGTTAATACGCGTTGTACTCTTTTTCCCTTACAAGGTTTTGTCCCACTGGGTTTTCCTTGCAAGGTTTTTAACGAGGCAACCAAAAGGCGTATTGTTAGATATTTGTACTCTTTTTCCTTTTCTAGATTTTTTTTCCATTGGGTTTTATTTAGTTAAGGTTTTAACGAGGCACATTATCTGTTGAATAGACATTCAGGGGGAGTGTTATAAATAGAATTTTATTTATAGTGAATGTCTATATTTAGAGAGATTCTAGGGTTCATTGCTTGGTGGCTAAGTCACCTTCTCCCTATAAATAGAGGGTTCTATTCTATTGTAATTCATCCCAAAATCAATAAGAATTCTCTCTCTCTACTTTTCTCTGTAATACTCTTCTTCTTCTTTTATTGTTTCATAACACATACTTAATTACATGTAAATATTTAACAGATGATTATGGGATATATATACTTTGTAAATTAACTAGGTCAAGGATAACCACTATTGACTAATTAAATTAACAGCCCTTAAACAAAAGATGGACTTTTTCACTTTTAGTCTGCGTAAGAAATTATTTACATTCGGTACCCGAGAACATGTATAAAATTTGTATAATTTTTGTATATAACATACATAATGTGTGTGTGTGTGTGTATATATATATATACACACACAAGAATATACATTTTTCGGCTATTATTTTGAGAGTGGCTATACGGTATCATTTTTTTCCACAAAAGATTAAAACCATGATAATCCATAAGGCAAATTCTCAAACTGACCTATAAACAAATTTAATTTCCTAGTAAAATCCATGTTTCTCTTATTATGGTTTGATCTCAGTGTCATCCCATAGTATATTGAGATCATCCAATGCCTCAATGTCGTTCCAATTCCAATAACTTTGCATATTTTCCATCATTAGACTACTTGTTCCTGGACCTTGCCATGTATTAGCTGGCTCCTCCTTGGTACTATCAAGATTTTCCATGTAATTATAAATATTTGAATATTGATTAGTAGATGTGGGAATAGAACATGGAATTTTGTCAAAGGACAAAGAAAGTAGCATATCTTCATCTTGAGGAACACATGTTTTCACTATGTTGCTCGGCCTCTTTAAAAATGTTGCAGGATGTGTGTCGGATCTTTCGAAAGTTGTGCATTTTTTCAGGGTTTGACATGAGTACGACTGTATTTTTGGAAAATTCGAACAACATAGGTTGTTGGTGATTGTATCATGTGGTAGTGAAGATGAAGGGATATTTGGCTCATGATACAAATTATCAAATACATTTTTCTTCTCATCCTCAACAACTATTTGAGAATTACTCTTTTCACTTGTGATCTTGAGCCGTTTAATTTTCCGGCCGCCGCCAACGGGGACGTTACGAAGAATGCCACCTTCAGTCCAATGCCTTTTACAGCCTTTACAAAAATGGCGAGGCTGTGATTTGTTGTAATTGTTGTAGTAACAAAATTTTGTATTGGTTGATTCACATCTTGGACACTTCAAAGGCTCTGCTTTAGTATTCTCCCCCATAATTAATACTTATCTACAACTATAAAAACCTAAAGAAAAATGAGTGTTATATTTTTTGTTTGGGAGAAGTGGTGTGGTGTGGAGAAGATATATGAGCTAGGTTGGTAAAGGTCAAGTTCTATGAAAATTCTTAATTTGGAAGGTGATGAGAAATGAGAATCTCTTCTCAGATTCTTTCTTTATTTTTGTGTGTATATATTTGTAGAGAGATTTAGCTTATATACACTAGGAAACTTTAACTTACATTCAATATATTTTGAGTTTAAGTTTTATGCATTGAAGATATATAAAATGTTTATACAATTAAAGGTTGTTTGGCCGTGCTTCTAAAAATAGCTTACTTAGAAAAGTGTTTTTTTTTAAAATTGTTTTTCAGGAAACTACTTTTGATAAGAAGTAGTTTGTGTTTGACTAATCAACTTGAGAAGCACTTTTGAGAAGCAATTTGTGTTTAGCCAAGCTTTTAAAAAGTGCTTATAAATTTATTTTTCTCAAAATACTTTTAGGGAGAAGCTACATTTTGTGCTTCTCAAAAATGTTTCTACTTTTACTCAAAAAATTTTTTTTCTTTCTCAAGACTTGGTCAAATACCTTAACTTTGGAAAAAAGCAATTTTGACAGAAAAAATATTTTTGACCAAAAATAAGCACATCCAAACAACTGTTTAATAATAAAAATTCTAAAAAAAAATATTTGCACTAAAAATCGTGACACAAAAAGAACTAAAAAAGACAACTCAGTGAAACAACTATTTAAATTGTCAAATCTCAATAGCCGGTAGTGTCACACCTTAAGTCGAAAACTATGGGAAGCGCGCACGCAAAGTCAGAATTTTAACTTTATAGGTTCTTAATATTAAAACGGGACTCTAATTTTAATATTTAATAAAAATTTTAACACAAAATTTATATTTGGGCTTCTACCTCTGCCCCGGAAACTGATGTGGAAGAATGTGAGCCGTCGATAGTGCGGACATATATTGGACGAGTAAGAATAAGATCTCCCATATGGTATATAATTATACAAACCATCCATGTTTGACATATGGAGTCAATTGAAATAGTAATGGGGCCAATAAGCAATTAAAAGAAAAAGTTAGGGAACAAACAAACACCAGAGAAGAGGATGCTTACAAAGCGTACTACCACCGTCCCTAAGGTCTCTTAATTCTTTATGTAGCCCCACATGTTTGTATTTTAGTCCCTTTGGTACCCCATTATTGTACAAATTGAATGGAATGGTCGGTGTTTCTCATGTGAAATGCTATAGTTATTATAGGGTAAAGTTTGATATGTCAAGTTGGATAAAGTGATATTATGCTTCCATATAGGGTGAAAAATAGTTGTCAACAACGTGGTTGCTAGTGGTCATTGTTGGTATCTTCTTTATCAAAAGAAATCCAGACAATTTCGACGATAAGAGCTCCGGGAAGTCATCAGCCTGTTATTCCCAGCGTATCTTTAATGCGTTGAGCTCATCCACATAGGGCTCTTGGATTATTATGGCCAACTTTCATCTTGATTATTCTCTTCTCCAATTTTCAACTTGCATAGGCAGAAGTGTATTTAGTGTAGAAGTTATGGATTCAACCGAACCCATAGCTTTCGCTCATACCTTGTATCTTTGCCCCAAAAATGAATAAACATGTACAAATTATAAATTTTGAACTGTGAATCTGAACCCATAAAGTTTAAATCCTCGATTTGGCTCTATGCATAGGTGTATGTCTAATGAGCGTTAATAAATATAACGACTTGAAATATGGAACTACTATTTAATACTCACTACTAGAAATTCGATCAAAATGAAGTCGGTCGATTTTTCAAAATATTTTTTTTTAAAATTTTTTTCTTACGAAACCGACTGACTTTGGTCGGTTTTCTTTTTGCGCCAAACGCCAGAAACTATTTTAGCATCCCGCAAAATTTATTTTTTAAGAAACCGACCGAAATCGGTCAGTTTTTCGTATAAAATAAATTAAAATTAATATTCAAAAAACCGACCGAAATCGGTCGGTTATTTAATCAATCATTTTAAAAAATTGACCGTTTTATATTTTTAATAAAATCGGCCGAAATCAGTTGGTTATTTTCGCGCGAAAATATAATTAAAGAGTACAAATAAATTAAAAGAAAGTCTTAAACCAAAATGTACCAATAGTCTAGTGGTAGAATTTCGGCAGATTTTTTCTTTTTGGGTCGATTGTGAAAAATAATTTACCGACTGAAATCAGTCGAAAATTGCGATCGACTTCGATCGCTATTTTTTTTACTGACCAACTTAATTTTGACGAATTAAAGTTGGTCGAAAATCGGTCGGTTTTTCCAGTTTTTTGACCGATTTCGGTCGGTATTTTTTACCCTTAAAATTGGATAACGATTAAACTTATAAGTGGTTTTAAGGATATGTGATTTCACTTGGCACAAACTGAGAAATATGAGAATTAATGTTAGAAATTAACTATAAAATAAAGCAAACCGATATAATGAGCGATTATGACTCTCGAGCTAGATCGCCTTCGAATCAACTAAGTATACTATTGAGCTGTATGAGCTGAACAACAGATCTTAAGAGGAAATGTAATGTATTGCTTTGTTACGCATGAATATGATGATTTTAAAGAGATTATAACCCCCTTTATATAATAGAGGAATTCTACTTATGGTACATGATGGGTTTTCAATGTCTTAGCGTTATACTTCTTATGTTTTAATGATCTAACAAACTTGTCGTGAAGAACCGGATAGAGAATTTGGCCCACAGGATATACATTTCATGTGAACTGGTCGAAGTCTGGAAATCAGCAAATGGATGAACAACCACAGGGAGGAACACAACAGGGACCTGGTGACCTGGTCCCTTAGGGTTCTCCGACACAAGCTAGTCAAGTACACAGCTGGAACGTAGCAGAAGAAAGTAACCATCTAGCAACTGTCATAGAAGAGGAACACAACTAGGACCTGGTCCGTTGGTGTGTCCTGATAGAAGTACAAAGTCCACTATCCAGCTGGAACGCAACTGCCCAGAAGTGGTTGTTCAGACAGTACAACAGTCACTTCTCATTGCGAAGAAGCGTACACCAAGAGTTGACATCACTATCCATTGTGCTATCTTTTGTGATAAAATAACTTGGTGCAAGACACACCATTCTTCGTGCATTCAGTGATATTCTCTCAAGCATAACAACGTTCATCCTGCATTGAAGTCACTGGTGTGCCAAGAACAAGAAGACAACTCCATTAAGGATCAGTTTCTTAATGAGTTTATGTACATCTGTAGTTGAGTTGTAATCTTGTTGTTTGCTCTTCATTGTATTTCCTAGTTTGCTTTCTTAGAAGCGTTATCTTAGGAACAAACCAAAATTCGTAAACTTCTGAGTTTATGTTGTGACTAGGGATAGTCATAAGTTTAAAGCCTTTGTAACTAGGATAGTTATAGAGTGGCTTGAGATGGTTGCATCACAAGTTAGTTTGAAGTCTTTGCAATAGAGTTTTTGCAAAGTGGCTTGTGGTGGTTGCATCACAAGTTAGTTTGAAGTCTTTGCAATAGGATTTTTTGCAAAGTGGCTTGTAATAGGCAGATTGCAAGTTAGTGGAGTTAAAAGCCTACAAGAGTAGGTCGTGATTTTTTTATCCCCTTGTGCGGGATTTTTCCACGTAAAAAATCTCTTGCCTTCTTTACATTCAGTCTTTACTGAATTCTACGTATCATCTCATAGAGGACCAGGTACTCTATAGTTTGGTGGACTCACATAAACTAACAATTGATATCAGAGCAGGTTTCTCCTATCAGGCTAACACCTAGGAAGGATCCCCAATGGCTGCTCCACCAAACTTTGAAGAAGGACAATCAACCTATAGACCTCCCAGATTCAATGGTCAATACTATGGCTGGTGGAAGACCCGGATGCATGATTTTATGATGGCAGAAGATTCAGAACTGTGGGACATCATTTGTGATGGTCCACATGTTCCCATGAAGAAACTTGAAGAAACAGGAGAATTGGTGCCCAAAGGGAGAAGAGAGTACGACATTGACAGAAAAGCTGTAGAAAAGAACCATCATGCCAAGAAAATCTTGATGTGCGGCATAGGACCTGATGAGTACAACAGAGTATCAACTTGTGATACTGCCAAAGAAATATGGGAAGCCTTACAAACAGCACACGAAGGAACTACTCAGGTCAAACAATCTAAGATCGACATGCTCACCACTGAATATGAGCTCTTCAGGATGAAGGATGATGAGTCCATACAAGATATGCACACCAGATTCACCTCCATCATAAATGAGCTTCACTCGCTTGGAGATGTCATTCCCAGAAACAAGCTTGTAAGGAAAATCCTCAGTGTTCTACCTGGGTCTAGGGAAAGCAAGGTAAATGCCATCACTGAAGCTAAAGATCTATAGACTCTGACCATGGATGAGTTGATTGGTAATCGGAAGACATACGAGATGAAAAGAAAGAAAGACAGTGAAAGAAGAGAGCCTAAGAAGGAAAAGAACCTGGTGCTTAAGGCTGAAAGCAGTGATTCAAGTGATGAAGATAGTGACATGGCCTATCTTACTAAGAGATTTCAAAAGATGGTTCGAAGAAATGGTGGTATACCAAAGTGGGGCAGTTCAAGTAAAACAAGGAACAATGATCTCTATCACAGATATGGAAAGTCAGGGCATTTCATCAAAGATTGCCCACTCGCAAAACTGGAGCAACACAAGCAGAATCCTGACAAAGCAGGAAAAAGGAACCTGGTTCCAGATAAAAGATTCAATCGAAAAAGTGCTGCAGACATCTCTTGCTGCTTGGGGAAACTCCTTGAGTGAATCCGAAAGGGAATCAGATGCAGAAGACAGTTCCATGATGGCAGTGGAAACTGAAGCAACGAAGTACGATTCACTGTTCGCGTTGATGGCTCAGCCAGATGATGATGATGAAGAAGATGAAGACGATGAGGTACACTTCAGGGATGTTCAGAGAAATCTGAAATCCTATTCTTCTA